TTAAGGCATTGGTAATTTTAGTAAAATTTAGGGGTATTTTGTAATTTTAGGAAAGTTCGACCAAATTGAGTTTCTAATCCAATAGTGGGGTTTAAACTTGTTTAAAGGCCGGGTTTGGGCTAGGCTTTGCCTCTTTATCAATAGAAAATGTCAAGGCCCAAGCTCGAGCTTGGCTAGCCCATTGAGCCAAGATCTTGAGCCCGAGTCGGAAGCCCAATTTGTAGGGGTGAGCAAAAGAAAAATCGAAAAACTGAACCGAAAAATCGGTTAACTAAACCGATCAGTTTGGTTTCGGTTCAGTGTTTTTAAAAACCAAAGGTATCAGTTCAGTTTTGGTTAACAAATATAAAAAAATGACGGTTAACCAAACCGATCGATATACATATATTTATATATATTTATGTATATTATATATATATATATTATATTTTTTATATATTATAAATTAATAAATATGCATTATATATAAATGTATATATTTATAATATATTATTTATTATTTAAAATATAATATTATATATATTAATACTTTTTATTATATATTTATATATTTTTTATAATATATATTTTAAAAACTAAAAAACCAATGAACCGAAATGGCGGTTAACCGAACTGGTCAAATGGTTAACTGACTGGTTTCAGTTCGATTCTGCTTACTAGTTTTCTAAAAACCGGTACTACCGGTTTGGTTTAAGAAAATACCCACGGTTCAGTTAACCAAACAGTGAGCACCCCTACCGATATGCACATAAAATGTCATATTTTTAGTGGAATTTTATAAGCTAGTATTATATTAATTTAGTAATAATTTAATAAATTAATAAACTAATTGGTATTTCCTAAATAGTATATTAATATTTGATAATAATTTTATGAAAAATATATATTTTATATATTTATTATATATAACATAAGTATTTTTTATTATATGTAATAGTATCGATCGGGCTTATTTGAGAAAGCCCGAGCCTAGCCTGAAAAATAGTCGGGTTTGGTATTTAAAGCTTGAGCCTAAGCCCGTGGGCCTAAAATTATGCCAAAGCCCAAAAATTAATAGGTTGGGCCAAACCAGCAAGTATACTTGCCAAACGGTCTTTTGGTCTTTCTAGCTTTTAAGAAGATCTTTAAAAAAAAATTGAAACCAAACGGTCTTTGGTCTTTGAAGATCTATCTATGAAAGGTCATCAGTCTTTTGAGGTCTTGAACTTTTAGAAGATCTTCCTAAAATGACTTGCCAAACGCCTCCGAATTTGTTTCCATGTTTTGGGGTGATGGCCAAGCTTTGTGAGATAGCTTATGGAATTTTTATCCCCAACCCATTAAAATCACTAATTTCTAAGGAATCGACTTAAACATCTACTAAGGTTGTGTTTGGTACCATTGCCACTTCTACTTGCAACACTTTGTGTTGGTTAATATCAAGTTTTGAGAAATTGTCTTGTCACATCACATTAGATAACCACTTCCACTCAAGGTTCAAAATTTCGATACGATACGCCCCGTATCGGGTGTATCGGGGCGTATCATATCAGGCGCTTCATGATACGCCTATTTATAGGGGTTTCGGGAACCACCCTCAATTTAATAAAAAATATAGTTAAAAATATACCCAAAAACCAAATTTTGAAAAAAACTAAAAAAATAAATGCGTGTTATTTTAAGTACCAATACGCCCCTACTGATGCACATGGACGTATTGATATTTTGAACCATTCTTCCACTAAAGAAAATATAAGCATTGGATTAGGTGTTGGCATTTATAGTAGAAACATCAAATTTAACTTGTTAAGATCATATTCTAGACAAAATCCCATTACAAATTCCATGAAAGGTGATCGAAAGGGGTATTACCAAATATCAGGAAATCAGGTCCACTTATATATTATAAATATAAAAAACAAGAAACCGAAGAACCAAACTTGTCAAAAATCAAAACCGACCAACAAATTAATTGGTTGATTTGGTTCAATTTCGATTCGAGGACTTTCAAAAATTGGCATTACTGATTCGGTTTCAAAAAATACCCCATGGTTGAACCATGAATACCACCCTAGATGCCATAGGGAACTTGCAGTTCTGCAGATTTTATTCCACGCCTCATATTTTGGAGGGATGCCAACTCACCATTAGAACTACTGCTGAATCATCACTGGCAAGTGGCACCCCGGTTATTTTATACATACGGTTCAGTTTGGGAAGAGCACAAATAGAAACACATTTGATGCAAAACCTTGTATACAATATTTCTAAACCTTATATTGACATTGTGTATATGTGTACTTTTCCCAAACACAGCCTATACCTCTATTATTTAAAATAAACGCAAAAGAAATTTTGAAGCTTCGGCACTACAGGCATATGATACAAACTGAACCATACATTTAAACTACGTTTGGTTGAAGGAAAAAATAGGGAAAGGAAGGAAAATCTTTACAAACATATCTTTTTCTTACCTTTCCCTTTCTTACCTTTTCCTTCAAATCAAACATAGCTTTATTGACTTATATACATTTTCTTTTAAAGTTGATATACTGGGCTTACATACATTCATAGGCTTAGGCAGAACTTTGTATAATTTGTTGTTAATATTTAGTTTTAGAAATATAACCATATTGCATACACATAATCATCCCAAACACGCAAAAAGATAGTAGTAGGATATATTAGTCAGGCGAGCTAAGTCAGATTGTCCGTGGAGCCAAACATTTATGGGGCAACCCCATACTATGGCCCAAAATTCAAATTCAACCCGTGCAAAAGGCTTGCCCTAGGCAGGTTCAGGATGGGCTTGGGTTGGGCTCTTCTCAAGTTGTATCCCAAGTAAAAAAAAATGTAAAGTTTGTATATAAATAAAATACCAAACAAAGTTTAACTTATTGGGAATGACTAATGAACCCATACCATGTAGAGGAATCTTTTTTCCACATATGATGATGAGATGATCAATAGAAGTTCGAATCACAAGCTTAAGTCAAGCACTCAAGCCCAAGTCCAAGTTACGCATCATTAGCGAGGTTCACTTGAATTTTTTATGGGTGATACTTCTTAATTAGCATTAGGGGTGGATTGAAGAAACAGAATTGGGCTCCCCGCAACCCTAACTTAGCATTCAGCATTCCAGCTATCGGGTCAATTGTATTTTAAGGCCTAAATCCAATCTTGATGAGGGCAGATTTGGTCCTCTACTCACATCATGACACATGGCATATTAGAACAACTGGACTACATATCAACATCACCTAGGCGACAATTTGCCTTAGCCAAAATGGAGTCCTATCTGGCGACCTGCCTTTGCCGCCGGCTTGGCGATTAGCCTCTGTCGCCGACTTGGCGACCTACCTCTCTAGAAGCTTGTCAGTTGTCTCCAAACCTTTCGGGATCACTCCGCGTAACTATAGGCCTTATCCTCATCCCGCCCGAATTGGAGGGAAATGGTAAGCCTTGTTAACTAACACGTTATCCTCCTTCCAAAGCGGAATGGACCCCTATGTCATGGACCGAGGATTCCAGGAGTGTTTCGCAATACCCACGGTAGCCCAACTATATAAGGGCGTCAATCCTTGAGACCTAGGTAGATGCGCAATTTTTAGTTCTCGCAGCTTTCTCACATTTAGCTATCTTAAAATCTCTGATTCGCTAACTTAAGCATCGGAGTGCCCACCCTGGGTAAAGCAACTCGGGCAGTCTGACACTGTTTCCTTGCAGGTCACATCAGAGCCACCTCTTTAGCTCGTTACCATTCAGCTAGGCTTCCAAGCCACTTTCTAGGTAGGAACCATTCAGCTAGGCGTCCAAGCCACCTTCTAGATAGAAACCATTCAACTAGGCATCCAAGCCACATTCCAAATAGGGATTATTCAGCAGGCATCTGAGTCACCTACCAACCGGGAACTGCTGAAATGCGCATCATCAAATCCCATTTCAGCTGAAATTTGATTTCTATTTTTGAGCCCAAACTCTGGGTGGTTGTTTATATTGGACTGGAATTGTATACATTAACACACACTTTGACCAAAAAAATTGAATAAGATAGACATGCATATACATGTATGATATAATATAAATAATTAAACTAATGTTATATTAATGAGAAAATTTATGATACCGAAAACACAGGCACCCGAAGAGTTTTGAGCAATCAAACGACCCTAATATCACCTTATTGAGTATATAAGTATTTTAAATATTTAAAATCTATAGGGCTGGACCGGCTTCTCGGCCTGGCTCAAATCCAAAAATTTTCTACCCAGCCCCTGCTTTCATATCAGCTGCGAAGGCCAAACATGACCTGTATAAATTGAGTTCGGATCTGCTGATAGTGCTGCAAACGGTATCTAATTATCCGATTCCAAATTTAAAATTGATTATATTAAGCCTGATCTGAATTTGATTAATTTACAATTGGATCAAATATGAATCTACCCCTATCTGATTCCATATGACTCGATTCGATTTGACTTATGCTCATATATATTTAAAAATTATATTATATATCATTGAAGTTGGTCTTAATGTTATATTCTTCACTAAATTGTCATATGATCAAGTTTTATACAAATAATTTTCAATTCATTTTGTTCATAAAATATATTATTAAAGTCATTTTTAGCTTATTTTAATAATAATATATAATATTTTGGTCATTTTTAGCCTGATTTATTTATATTATTTAATATCTAATTATAATTTGAATTCGATTCAAGTCTACTAGATATTAGATCCGATTTGGATTCAAACATATCCGATCCGATCCGTTTGCAGTCCTATTCGCTTATCATAATCGCTGTCCGTGCACAAGATACTACAGCCACACATCGGAAATATCTTCGCATGATTGACAATATAAGTACAAGGTTCCTGATGTGCGGCTTTAGAGTGTTCTGCGCAGCGTTTTGTGGTCAGCAGATCTAGAGTCGCATAAATCTGCGCAATAGATTCGTCCAACGCAGGTCGCAGGCTCACAGGGTAAGGGTTTAGTCTGTTTAGACACATCACACGAGTGGAGTGCGTCTGTGCGTGGTCAGGCACCGTTAGTCGTTACCAAACGCCGGGTGCGTTTTACACACTCCCTGTTCCTCCCATCAAACAACCTTCGGGCATTTCCCCCTCTTCCTCCACTTTTCTCCCAGCTCTGCACACCGTAAGCCCGTAGCCATGTTTGCTCCAGCAGCTCGTCTTGCGAGCAAACGGTTTCTCGAGATCCGCCAGATATTCCGTCAGTCTCCCCAGGTATCAATCTGATCCTTTCTATCTCAATCTCTCTCTCTCTCTCTCTCTCTAATTTTATCTATGCTCATATTGTTTTTTGCAGAGCTCTCGTTCTTTCTCCACTGCCCTAAATTACGTGAGTCTCCCTTTCACTGGTAGTAATCTCAATTGCAATTTCAAATATATTTTTACTGGTTATTTATTTATTTCTTTTTGATGATTTGATCTGTTTAAAGCACATCGATTCTCCGGATAACAATCGCGACCTTCCTTGGGAGTTCAGCGAGGCTAATAAGGAGAAGGTAAGCATATAACGAAAGAGACCATTACATACGTATTTCCTCTTTTCAATACGTGCCCAGTTAGATGCTGTTTTTTTTTTTTCCTGCACAAATATTGCAACTTTGTTCTGTTGGATTAAGGCAAATGCAATCTAGTTTATGGCGAAAAGGCTTCGATATGATAAATGTGCAACTTGATTTGTGATTCCTGATTTCTCAAACCAATGCAGTCGTTTGGGTCAACTGTGATTGCTAATGGTGAATATTAACAATGTACTCCTAATGCAGTCGTTTGGGGATAAGATGTGCTAATTTAACCAAGTCATAGGCGCCCTTGCCCCTTTTCTCTGTTATATTTAGATGACGACCCAAGCAAGATAGCCCACTGATAGGGTTTAACCCTATGTATTTATTCGAAAAAATTGATGAAATTCGAGCTACCTCTGGTGTTTGCTAAATGCTGGGACATAGTTTGAAGAGCTTAACGTTTACTTGTTATTTGCATTATTGGTTTACTCAATTGATTATATTTTTGATCACTCTTGTTCTGCTGAGCCCCCAACAGAGATCTAATATGAAAATAGAGCCTTTCTAGTAGGGCATCCATTCTTTGTTTGGTTATCTGTTAGTGCTGTCTTATCTTATTTTTCTTGTTTTATCAAGTATGATTTTTTTTTCATGGAAATAAGGTTAAATTCTTTGAAGATATGCCACAGGATGATACCCCACCTTGTGATAAATTCCCTGGACATTACACGATAAACTGTTATAAGAATTTCCCTATATGTTCTGTAGGCCATCTGTCTATTTCTAGCCTTTTAAGAATTTTGGCATTGAAATGGTTTGCATGACCATGAGTTTTTGGATTCCATCTGTTTTATGGATCTCTCAATTGTTGTGTCTTTTCTTTCAAGTGTTGATAGTTGAGTATGGTCTATTGATTCTCATGGTATCTTTCCATGCTCACATATAGATTTTTTCCAAAGTTCATAATCTAAGCACTTCTCTCACTTCTGTGTTTTAGGTCTAGCAATATTTGCTTGGTCCAACCCTACAAAAAAGAAAAAAAGTTAGGTTTTTTTTTTTGGTTGGTAAGTTGTGCAACAAAAAATGGCACACTTTTGAAATATTCTGGCATAGAAGGAAATCAGGAACCTTGGATCCTATTGCCTAATATGTGCTTTCTCTGTAGCACAATTGGTGAGGTAATCAATAATTGAACAATACAACCTACCAAGAATCAACACACTGGTGAGGTAACCCCTTAAGGCCTTACCCATGTGTTACCTGTTGTATGTCTTTGGCATGCAGACTACAGAGCGAACTTTTATCCTTATTTGTTGCCCATTGGCATCCTTTGCCTTATGTTCCATGTTTATATGGGTCTACTTTCATCTATTCTTCCTATAAGAGGGGAAAAATTATGTGGAGATGCTTGATGGAGCCAAACTGTGGTCCACATTGGAGAAGAGACATGCTATAGTGTTTTCAAATAAGAAACAACCCTTTAAAGCAGTGATAAACTTCATCACTATTAGACTAGCTCACTTTCCTACTGGAGAGGGGTTTGTAGACTTCTTGATTGATGATATGGTCAGAGGTGATCTATGTTCTGAAATTGTGAACCCATAGTCATCGTTTCATAGAGTTGGTTTTACCCTTAGTGTGGTCAAACTAAATTTTGAGCATTTGCCTTGGGAATGCTGGACTTGCTGGAGTGGATAGATCTTTTAGAGATAAGGATGGGGAAATCATATTGGTGCTCTTGGGCCCTATTGGCATTAGAGATCTGATTCAAGCAAAGACATTTTTATTACTACAAGGGCTCAGGTTGATCTACTTTTGAGGCTTACCACATCTAGAGGTGGAAGGTGGTTCACAGAGTTCTTGATAGGAGAGGGTGATGGGGGCCTTTGGCATCACCACACTGTAGAGGTTAGACATATGGGTTCCTTATATTTGTTCTTAGTTTTACCTATAGATCAGCCCACTTATTGGCTGATAACATGGAAAGAGGAGTAGGCCTGACTAAGTTGTACTGGGTTGTTTTCTACTTAGATGTCTATCTTCTGTGTTTTGCTCCTTTACCACTTTTATTGTGTTGTATTTGGTTTGGCTACTAGTTATACGGTCTTTTATTGTATTCTCTTCCCTTGTTTCTGGGGTATTTCTACTATGTCAGTATCTAATGGTTGTGTTAATTCCATGACCATAAGTTACTCAATCCTGGGCCTGACAGATATAGATGTGAAATATAGATAGTTGTATGTATCTATCTTATAATGTTCCACCATCCATTCAGTTATTGATACATTCAAGAATTTGTTTGCTTGAAAAGCTCCCTGATCATTGTTAGTGTGAAAATTTGAGAGAAAAAATGAATTGATTGTATTGTATTGGAAGGAGCATATACACAACTTTATATAGAATTACAGAGCTAATTTACAGGGTGATAAAATAGGAAACTAACTTTTCCTAAAAAACTAATTTTTATATCAGTGGGATTCTCCAATTAATATCCCATGATTCTAGGAAATTAAGTTTTCTAAACTGATGGACCTAAAATTATGGAGAATCAATCAGAGAGTCAATCTTCTACTTTCCAACAGTTAGTAATAAAGTAGTTAGTTTTGCTTGTAAATGCTACACTATTAAGCTATTGTATATTGGAAGATTGACACTAGTTATGTGCATTCGTAGGTTAAGGAGATATTGTCTCATTATCCATCCAACTACAAGCAATCTGCAGTTATCCCTCTACTGGATCTTGCACAGCAACAGCATGGAGGGTGGCTACCAGTATCAGCAATGAATGCAGTATGTTAGCATTCTAAATTCTTTGCACTTTTTTGTTCTTCTGTTCCATGCATCTATAAGAAATTTATTACATGCTCGATTCCATGGTTCTTTGTAACCCCTTATATATAAACGACCTGGATGTATACTTTCTGTTCTGTTAAGTAATATAGAAACTTTATTAGGTATAAGGAAGTACAAAGATACTAAAAATCTGCTGCATCTTTACTATTTACTGACCTCTACACCCACAATGACTATTCCAAGTTTTTTATGCACAGCTAGTCTAGAGATCATGAATGGAGACAATCTTTGCTAAAAGCCTAAAACTGGTCATTACTCTGATTATTGCACTTCTTTTTGCAATTTCTTTTGGAAGAAAATTTGAGCCCTTCTGTTGTTTTTGTATTTAATATCATTCATTATGTTGTTGTTGGTCACAACTCACAAGGAATCCTGAAACCATAGATTGAGACAATCTTTGCTAAAAATGGCCATTATTCTGATTGTTGCACTTTGTTTTGCAATTTCTTCTGAAAGAAAATTTGAACCCTTGTCTTTGGTGTTTCTTTTAATAAATTCAAGCCGTAGTGTTGTTATTTATGTTTTTCTGAAAGCATGTATCCAAATTTCTGCTTGCTTTTAGGATTCTGTTTGTGTTTAAAAAATAAACAATAATTTCAAGAAAAATAGTAACAATCTAACAACAGTAAGGGGGCATGCACTAAGCAGAAAGCATTTTAACTTTCTATTATCATTAACATTCAGATGGAGAGCATACCACCACAATTCAAATGCTTTGTGTGATGGAGGTCATAGCCTCATAGGTTTGATCTAGGCAGGGTATATCATAACTCAGAGAACTTTCAGGAGTGTGCTGATTTGGGATCCCTTGCTGATACAACCTTTACTAGTATAGTGGATCCATGAATTAAGTCTTTGGGGTGGGTCAAATAGGTGAGGAAGTGGTTTCCCTTTCTAGTGTCCTAACATAGATCCACATATTTATATATCTGGGGAGTGGGCCTGGGCTTGTACTAGTTAACAAATACTTCAAAGGCTGGCTTATGAAGGACCAGGAGTGATGAAACAATGGGCAGTAACTGGCTGGAGGTTTTGCCTCCTAACATTAGTGATGGTTCTAGTCATTTTCAGAATTCATATGTAGGGAGGTAATCTAGTTGGCAGTGTATCAATGGTGTAACACTGTTGAGCCTAAAGAAGGGAAGATAAAATCATAAAAGCAGGTACCTTCTCTCTTAGATAACCAAGAGGGCATCTGGTGCAGTTGAAAAGGAAGTTTGTTTGTCTATGGCAATTGAGAAAGTGGTCAGTTCCAAAAGTTGTATCCCCTTTTCTACTTTGTATCAGCTGTTGACCTTGCTAAGGAAAATGGGGATAATTTGGTGGAGGGAGAGCAGTTCTGAGTTCTGTGGCGGTTCTGTCCCCTCTCCTGATTTCTTTTTCAATGTCTATTTTCTTTAGTGGGGGTGGGGGGGGTTGAACAAAGTGATGCTTTTTCTCCATGCTTGTTTATCTTTTGAACTGAATCTTCCAGTGAACTCACACTCTCACAGAAAAGGCAGCAATAGGGCTTGAAGGATTTTCTATGGGTGATCAAGGCTTTGGACCTCACTGTTTGTGATCTGCCAATGATCATTTCTTTTTTCACAAATCCTCAATTGCACATTAGACATAAAATGAAAGAACCCTCGTATTTTCTTAGAAACCTTCACATGTGGCAAATAAGTGGTTTGCATTTCGCCACCTCTTCACATGGAAGACAACAGAACACCTACTTGCCAAGTTAATGCCCATTGATTGAAGTTGGTCTTGAGTAGGAATCATCTCCAATATCACTAGCCATGTAAAGGCCTCTACTCTAAGTCTAGGGGAAGGGCAGGTTTCCCCCATAATTTAGCAAAAGCATGATGTTGGTGTTTCTTCAGCTGAACCTAATATCTTATTTTTAGTTTGTTGTAGAAGGAATTCACTGAGTTATGCATTTGAGTCTTCAGTTCACACCCTTTTATCTTTTGCATCAGAAAAACAAACAAGCTCATCTAATTCTAACTCCCAAACCAATGGAGGCCTAATGAATGTTGGATTCTAAACAATCTGATCTTTACTTTTGTGTAGCATTCACTCATTGCACAACTTCTATTCAAGCTTAAGTTGTATAAACAGGGAAGACATTGCAAGGTTTCCATGTTGAACTCCATTTGTCTTCTCAAAATCTGATTTATGTAGCTGATCCCACTGTGAATTCTTATTTTTATTGGTGCACGTGGGACAAAAGTGAGTTGGTTATAACTTAAGGCACCCACATATTTATAAAATTCCAGCAATATTTTCTAAAGAGATTTAGAATGGTGTTAAGAGTGAACAGAGGATGTTTATCTAAAGTTGTTTAGGGATTTCTCTCTTTGACAGCTTAGTTCTTTGAACTCAATGAGTGGGTGGTAATATAGATGTTCGGAGGTGTATTTTTGTTTGGAAGTATCTTCTTTGGTTTTCCCCCTTCAGCTTTATTACTGAGTTGGAGGGTCCTGGATCATGTTTGTGAGCTGTTGCTTGACCATCTTTTCCTTTCGAAGCTATGGATAGAATTTCTTTGGAGAATCACTGTATTTGTCATATTGTGGGATCTAAGAAAAAGGAACCAAACAGTTTTCAATGGTGAATAGATTGTAGAAATTTTCAAAGTTATTGATAAAAAAAAACTACAATCTATTCACAGAATTTGAAAGGATATTAGTTCCTTCATTATGGACTGGGAGTTAGTTCACATCAGTGTTTTAAAAGCGCAAGGTGCAAAAAAAGGTGCAGGGGTCAATTTGCGCCTGTGGTGCAAGGCGCAAGGTGAGGCGCTTGCCTTTTTAAGCAAGGTAAACTTTAATTTTAAAATAAATGTTTTAAAAAACCTATTATCTATTATTAAAATACATAAATATAACATGTAAAGCATATTCAAATGAGAATTTAAAAATAAAATCAAATATATAATACATTTTCAAGCATATAAAACCCACAATCTCTTTTTTTCTCAATTGCATTACTTCAAGTGGCTAATGTGATATAAAACATATTACATTCTTGATTCTATGAGCCGCTTCTGTACCACGCCCCTCGAGGCAAGCCCAAACAAGTCCACGTTAGGTCTTAAATCTTAGTTCTCCCACAAAAAATAATGATTTTATAGTTTTAATTGCTTTTTAAGAAGACATTTTATTAGGATGAATGAATGAACAACATTACCAAATATTGGGTTCTACTCCACTCCAATGTTGTTCATTCATTCATCCTAATAAAATGTCTTCTTAGAAAGCAATTAAAACTATAAAATCATTATTTTTTGTGTGAGAACTAAGAATTTAAGACCTAACGTGGACTTGTTTGGGCTTGCCTCGAGGGGCGTGGCATGCCGCTAGACACAAAAAAAAAAGCAAAAAAACATCAAAGTTTCAAAAGGCGCACGCCTGGGCTGAGGCGCAAGGCGCACCAGGTGTGCACCCTTTGAAAGGGCTGCGCCTAGGACCTGGGCGAGGCACCTACCCTGAAATGCGCCTCGCCTGTGCGCCTAGGTGCACTTGAGACGCGCCTTTTAAATCACTCCACATGTTCAAAAACATAGGTAGGGATGACTGATAGGAGTTGGTTGGATTAAGTGGGAAACTAATATTAGGACCTTATATTTTTGGTAAGTGTGCCATGCTAGAGGTGGAGACCATGTCTTTTTTTTGCATATCATTCCTAATTTTACTTAAAGTGAAAAAAAAAATCTATCAATAAATAAAAAAAATTACACAGGTTGCAGCTGCTAATTGCATAAATGTTGGGAAATAAGCTTAGCATTCCCAAGTTCAGGAGAAATTAATGATACAAGCTTTATAGGTTGGTTAGTCTGCTTTAAGTTTGAGGTAGTCTTACCATTTATTGGTAAAGGKATGGAGATAAGAGGATTTTGAAGTGACATCCAAGGATGTTAAATATATTTTCTGATCTTTGGGTCCATAAATGGAAGGGGTCGTACTCTGAACCACAAATTCAAAAGATTTTAGTCATAATGAATCTAGCCATCCATAGAGGATACAGAAAAAAAAATAGAGGTTATATGGAGGCCCCATTCCCATCTTCAAAATAAATGTCTTAATACAAAATGGTTTCTAGCAGAAAAATATTTCACAAATTTCATGCGAACTCTCGCCATCTTTTGTTCTCCATTAATTTTTGATAAATTGTCTCTTCATCTATTTATTCCTATGAAGAATTTCCAGATTAATACAGCAAGGAATTGCAACCCAATCCTTTAACTTTTTTATGCTATATGTAATGTAATTGAAGTTGTTATTGGTGGTTCAGGTGGCTAAGATTATAGAGGTTGCTCCTATACGTGTATATGAAGTTGCAACATTTTATTCAATGTTCAACCGGTCAAAGGTGAACACATAAATACTCTACTTCTAAATATACGATGTGTATTTTTTTGATGATCTGAATAGATTTACATGCATACATGAGTGAACTTCATATATGCTTTGTCTGTTGGTTATGTAGGTTGGTAAGTACCATCTACTGGTCTGTGGTACAACACCTTGTATGATACGTGGTTCACGTGAAATAGAAGAGGCCTTACTGAAACACCTGGGAGTTAAGCGCAATGGTGAGTTATGCAATAATTATTTTTGCCTTTTTTTGATGAATAATAATAAGTTTATTGATTCAGAAGCAACTTTAGAGTGAGTTCATACATCATCCCAACGAGAGGCACGAGCTGCAGCCCCTCCTTGAGTCTTACAAGTAAACTAGGAAAGAAAAACAATAATCACAACTGAGCCCAAAATAATTCTTCCCTATTTACCCCTTGCTTAGCTAACACATCTGACAAAGTATTTGCTGATTTC